TATTTCTCCAGCCATAGATAATATTTAAAGCCCAAACTTAACCAGGACTTTAGTTTGAATGAAGCAGAGAAGGGATAAAACCTCTGTTAGATTCTTAACATATTTTTGGTTTTCTTTTAAGGGATTTCCCTAACGTCCTCTTCTGCCTGACCTCCTGCCACTTGGGCAGAAAGTACTGTATGTCACCAATTGGACACAGCCAATAAAAACTGTTCTGTCTGGTGAATGCATGGCACAGAACAAGATCTTGGCTAAATAACTAAAGTGATAAAGTGGTTAGCACTTCTGCCTTGCAGCACTAGGGTCGTTGGTTTGAATCCCTACCATGGCACTACGTGCCTGAAGTTTGCATGTTCTCCCTGTGCCTCTGTGGGTTTCCTCTGGGTACTCCGGTTTCCTCCCACACTCCAAACACATGCCGATAGGTTAATTGGCTCCTGTCTAAATTGGCCCTAGTATGTATTAATGTGAGTTAGGGACTTTAAGCCCAGGACCCTTTGATAATGTGCACCGCACGAAACGCGTCAGGGGCTGCAGTATCTGGACGTCTGACCACCGCAGGTGGCCATCCTGATTATTATCTGGTTAGTGTTTATTTGCATTTTACCTCTACAATTCATGTTGTACCTTTAATAAACTCAATGTATACGGTATCACGCTATGTGGTGTCCCTTATTGGGCTCTCTTCAATGAGAGTCCCCACCAATTGGACACAGCCAATAAATCTGCTCTAAAAAAGGACCCCGGATTGTGACACGCCTGAGACACGTATATGAAATTTACGGTATCACGCTATGTGGTGTCCCTTATTGGGCTCTCTTCAATGAGAGTCCCCACCAATTGGACACAGCCAATAAATCTGCTCTAAAAGGGGACCCCGGATTGTGACACGCCTGAGACACGTATATGAAATTTGAAGTATTTAACCCAAGTTGCGATTGGAAGGTGTATGACCCTGTCCTTATCTTGGCAATTGATGACTACTACAGGATAAATCTTACATGCGTTTTTTTGACGCACTTCTGGTGAGTGTGCAATTTTTACCCCAGATTCACCGTGTGATACACAGAATCTTATCCCACGTACCTACTAGGATCTATTGGATCCCCACGTTTGACCTTATTTTGGGACTTTTCATCTCACTCAATCTCACCGCAGTGTGATTTGACATTTGCACTTTATTTATAATATGTTATGTATGCCATTTTTGCTAATATAGCGCTGCACCTTATATATGTTTTTTATATATATATTTATATGTAGTTAGGGACTTTAGATTGCAAGCGCCTTGAGGGTTATGGACTGATGTAACCTTACAATATACATGTAAAGCGCTGCGTAAAATGACAGCGCTAGGTATATAAGTACCTGTAATAAATTAATAATTTTGGTTTCATGTTGCTGTAAATTGAAAGTTGGAAGAGATGTTCCCTGTAGTTGATTTTCTAGTGAACATTCTCCAGAATGGTTGGTCTCTCAAAGATTTTAGAATCGTAGGTGAGGGGGGGCACCATAAATCAAAAACCTTAAACTGTTACTTGGAAAAGAATCTTGATTTTATTGGTAGATAGCATTTGAAAATACAGACATGCATTTAGGGATTCACCCCCTTTTTACAGCTTAGGTTACTCGGTGTCTGCCAGGAGCTGGATGCTATGGAAGATCTGCCCTAAGTGCAGTTTGTCTTTTTAATCTGAAACAATGGAAGGGTGACCATGGATTTTCAGAAATGTATGTCTTTTTTTCAAAACATATTTTTAATAGCAGACATCTGAAATTTGAGAAATTTGGGAGTTTGGTGTTTTACGTCTGTCGTTTCATGACTGCCAAGTGTTTTACTCTTTTCACTTCTAATTACATGATTCTAGCTCTTATAGTCATCTGTAAAAAATAGATATGCTTGAGTGGGTTTTGCTAAATAGGGCAGGAGAATACTTGGTGCTAAGTGTATAAACACTGTATATATGAGTACCTGTCAAAGTGCTCTGCTACATATTTGACATTCCAAGGACTGTTGTTAGGCAACAAACTCATGAAGACACTTATGTCCCATCTTCATCAAAGAAAAAGGCCACATATAGAAAACCCAGAACTCAGTTCATGAAAAATAACCCCTGCCTTGTGCACACGTTGTGTCGGTTTCCACTCAAGGACAAAGCCGCTAAGGAAGATATCTTGGGCACCAAACTAAAGAGGACCTCTCAATTCTGTCCTACACACTCACATAAAGTTGTATCAATCATTCAATGTCCAGGAATTGAGACCCCAAATGTTATATTTAACCTCCCTAGCGGTATGATTATTTCCGATTTTTGGTGCTGAAAGCAGTACAATTATTCTGCATGGAAATATGTAGTTTTTTTTTATTGTAGGCTGTAATTTTTAGGAATAACTCACTGAAATCTGTCCGAACAAGAGTCTATTAAACATCCCGGGTAGGATAAAATTTGAAACACAAAATCATAAATTATAATGTAATAAATAATCATAAAAAATAATAATATAATAATATTACATTTAATTCAATAATATAATCAAACCAAAAACACTGAAATTTGAAATATAGCGCCAAGTTCGCACATCGCTGAGCAAAGTCACAGAATCGTTTTCAGTGTCTGATGACGAATTTCCACCACGAATCATTATCACTCAATTCTGCAAGTGGTTCTGATTTACTATCGCTGTTCTCTAACCGATCTAAACCCGCTTTTGACCTAAAGGGACACTTTTTGGACGCCGTGGACTTTTCTAAGTTTCCAGGCAGAAAGAACATTCAAAATGCAGACAGGGGACAGGACAGAGCACTAGGGACAAAATGTATGTAAAATGGGTTGAAACAGCAATGTTTTACTATGAAAAATCGTTTTGAAAAAAATGAAATTTTTTTAAAATTTTAAAATTTCCCACCGCCGGCGGCGCCCGTACGTCCCGACGTCACAGAGACTGGAACACAGGAGCCGGATGCCGGCATCGGCCGGAGGAGATGGCCGGGGACGCTACAGGGGACACATCGCGGGAGCGAAGGACAAGGTAAGCTCTGCAGGGACTCCCTATACAGCGCCGCATGGTAAGCCCGAGTGTAGCTCGGGGTTACCGCTTTTGGTACTGACATTTTACCCCGAGCTACACTCGGGAATACCGTTAGGGAGGTTAATTTACTTCCTCAATTTGAATAAAGCTTGATCCTAGCCGAATTTATTGGGGGTGCTTGAGTGAGAAGGTGTCGAAATTGCTGGTAGTTTTTTATTTCTGCATGTGACCCCCATTGAGAAGTTTTGCCTACATAAAAATGGAGATGCAGTGGTAGTAACAACCAGCAGTAAAAACATTTTCAGAAGTTCCAACCGTTCCTTACCCTACTTAAAAAATGATTTTTTTTTTTTTTTAATTTTTTCGTTACATGCTCAACAAACTAGAAAGTCTAGAGCTTAGCTTTATATAGCAAAATATTAATGCACATAGTTATTTTATATTTCTTTTCTTTTAAAGAAAACCTGTTCTGAGAAAAATATGCAGGCTGCCATTGCTGTCCTCCTTGTGAATATGCCATGTGACTGCCTGTCTTTGGTTTCAGTACTTTCTCAGTCACTGATGGGGCAAAGTATTGAGCCTGAGGATCAGCATGACAACCAGCAGATCAGCAACGGCGGTCTACATATTTCCTCCACAACAGGTTTTTTTTTTCCAACAAAGATTGCAAAAACACTCTAAGCTGATGCTGGGATATTGAGCTCCTCAACAGTGGAACAGCTGAGTGCTTTGCCTATTGCGGCACAAGGGAGGTAAATCGTTTTACGGGCCACTTTATTCTGCAGTTAAACATGTCACTTTAATTGTTGTGAATCTTTTGGAAACAATGGCAGCACTGTAGTGCCGGGACGACTGCATAACTTGGTTCTGTCTGCCTCCCCCCTGCTTTGTGGAGAGAAGTGTTTCCCATTAAAAAAGAATTTCTTCAGGCCATTGAGGATTTCATCACACAGCTAAAAGGCAGGCTCATCTTCGCTTGTCATGTTAAAGCAGAGCTCCAGTCAAAATCTAAAAAGATAAAAACCAGCAGCTACGAAAACTGTAGCTGCTGACTTTTAAAAAACAGCCACTTACCTGTCTGTCGATCCAGTGGTGTGTTCATACCAGCTGCGTTCACTGGCCCTCCTCTCTCCCTGGCGCCGACATCCTAAGTGTGGGCACCCGGCTGTGACAGCTTGCGGCTTAACAGCTGGATGCCCACTGCGCATGTGCAAGTAGTGCTACGCCTTGTGAATGGTCCCGTAGTCTTCTGAAACCTGCCCAAAAGACTAAGGGGAGGGAGGACAACTTCCACTTACGATCGCCTGGGCAATCGCAGCAGAAGTGGGAGCGGGTACCTGTCAAAATTAGGTAACTGCTTCACCCCACTCATCAAAGGTGCCAATCCTTAACAGGGAGTGGAGGACAAGGCCTTAAAGTGGAACTTACCCTTTTGGATGGAGCTCCACTGTAAGTAATGTTAGATACCCAAACTCATTCATTCCCATGAGTTGCGTCATCAGCTGCGGTCTTATGTAGTTAAAGCATAGTTTCCAATTGTCGGTCATTTGAAAAGACTGTCCCTCTTTTGGAACCAGAGCCCTTTGACCCTCTTTCCTTCTCAGTTTTCGCTGTTGTCGGTCTGATGTACTATATAGATCTCTATTGATTGTGTGGTTCAGTATCAATCTCAGTATCGATTTTAGTCTTCCAAAGCCCGTGTCCACAAAAACTATGTGGAGGGAACTCCAAAAGCAAAACATTTACAAGCAAGCTGAAATTGCCAAACCACTACTGACCGACATTAATGCTCAGAAGAGGAGTGAGTGGACTATCGAAAACTGTAATATGGTCTGATAAATCAATGCTTGAATAAGAAATGCAGTCAGGCAAGTACCTTTCTGCAGGCAACCGCCAAACCCAGACATGTCCATCAGATTGCCAGACAGAGAAGTGTGATTGGTCACTCCATAGAACACATCTCCACTGCTCTAGAGTCCAGTGGCGTTGTGCTTTACACCACTGCATCTGACGCTTTGCATTGCACTTGGTGATGTAAGGCTTGGATGCAGCTGCTCGGCCATGGAAACCCATTCTATGAAGCTCTCTACACACTGTTGTTGTGCTAATCTGAAGGCCACATGAAGTTTGGAGGTCTTTAGCTATTGACTCTACAGACAGTTGGTGACTTCTGCACACTTCAGCATACACTGACCCCGCTCTATCATTTTACGTGGCCTACCAATTGGTGGCTGAGTTGCTGTTGTTCCCAGTTGTGTCCACTTTGTTATAATCCCACTAACAGTTGACCGTGGAATATTTAGTAGCAATGAAGTTTCACGAATGGACTTATTGAACAGGTGTCCGCCTATCACGGGACCACGCTTGGAGTCACTGAGCTCCTAAGAGCGACCTATTCTTTCACAAATGTTTGTAGAAGCAGTCTGCATGCCTAGGGGCTGGATTTTATACACCTGTGGCCATGGTATATACAATATACATATACACACACACAGTAAATACAGTAGGACTTAAAATAATACATAAATTAATTTGATATCACGCATTTGATGTTACTCTGTGTGGTAGAGCTTTGAAGGCTGAACCTCAAGCTGTTATAAAAACCAAACTGCCTTTTATTAGGTATTGGTTATATATTGTCAACTGGTAATCATTGCTGTGTAACCTGCTGATCTCTCCCTTTCCTAGGGTGTGGGTGAGAGTCACTAACCGCACTGCCATTCACTTAAGGTGTACCACCCTGATTTCTTATCTTAATTTACACAATTACTAGTCAGTTACAAATACATTTCTTACATAGATTGCCATCTAAGGTCATCCTTAGTATTTTACGACTTAAATGTACCTTGTAGATTTACAAGACCCTGCTGTTTAAGGTGTATCTCTAATGAAGATATTTTATTTTGGTGTTGGACAGAGGCATGGTTAGAATATCTGTCAAATTTACTTTGCTACCTTTGTCCCAGCAAATTAAACTTAACAGAAGTGAACAGAAAAGACAGGAAGTGAAGAGAAATCACAGATTTCTTTTCACTGCCTGTCCTAAAGATTCAACAGGAAGTGGGAGTAAATCCCTTTAAATTGAGGTGATTTCCCCTTTGTCAACAGAACAGATGTCCCTATTGGAGAATTACTCCTTACCTCCTGTCTGGTAACAACCGTAAAACTGGATTTCCTATCACTTGCTATGCCATTGGCAATGGTAACCATAACACCTAGAGGGGTTAATTTACACAGTAGTACACAGACAGTAATTAAAACTTTACTTTAATTGAATATATCAGCATAATTCTTTAAGTGATATAATATATGGTATACAGTATAAATACTATAACAATTACTAATAAACTATTAAGGTTTCAGTCCAATTGAGATTGGCGGTGGGGGTGGCAGCAGGGCTGGCATTACAAGGAGGCATTAGCATTACATAGCTACAGAGGCATGAACCAAGTGGATTCATGTTGGTGCTGTTCTAGTGGGTGCCTGAGCAAAGATTCTGTACTGTGGGAAGTGAACTGAATTCCAGCTAGGGATGGAAATTGGATAAAGCTGGATATACACTAGTAAATGTTCATCTAAAAGTTTTCATTTTAGGAACTTTCCTTCAATGTTTTAATTGTTAGTGGGGTCAAATCAACATTCTTATTCTATCGTAGTGATGAGAAAATTCGAAGATGCAGGATTTAAATCATTTCTCAAACAAATTAATTTCTAACAGTGAATGTAGTTTTCGTTCCGTAAAGTCCACTCATTTCATAATCAAATGTTAAAAGCAAACTTTTGAAGCACATTCATCAAGCCGTTGAATGTGCTGAGAATTTTTCATATGCAAGTTCATTTGAAAATCTTCTACTGTATACCCAGCTTAAGAAAAACAGTGTATACCAGGCAAAAAAAGTGGCTACATCAAGAGAGAACAGAACCTCTCTCAAGTCAGGTGGTCTGTATGAGGTCAGTATGAAGTAGACTCTTGGGAAGTAATGAGACCAGTGGGTGAAAGCTGGTCAATGCCTACAAATGTTGGAACTGACACCCCCCACTAAGAGAGCCCACTGGGTGCACAGGATGGAGTTCAGGATACTGGCTAATTGTGCAGCTCAGAAGCTCCTGGTGGTGTCTCTGAAGATGTACATAAGACTTCAAGCATGGAAGTCTCTCGAGAAATGGAAACTTACATTTATGGTGGACACGTTGGTGGCCTAAAAAGATCTTGTGGTCTTCTTGCATCACTTTCAATACTGGCTTGGCACCTACTGTCAGTGATGAAAGGAGAATGCCCCTCATCTGGTGCCATCTCTGGGTGGCAGGAGCATCTGGCCATCTCATAGTTCCTGCTGCCTTTGCACACATACAGACTGCATGTATGCTCTCACAATACATGTCAAGTGTTGGCCAACTCACTAAAAAACAACATACTCCCAGGGTGAATGATATCTCAACAGTTGTTAAACAGGGAGAGTCATTAGCTTATCTACAAATTAGATAAGAACATCCAAATGAGACTATGAAACACCTTAAACAAAATTGATTTCCTATATCACATAGTCATAAAAAACATAAAATATTGAATTATCAAAGATAAAAGTATTACCATGAGGTCTAAAATTGTTTTATAGGGAAAAGAGGACAAAGGAAAACATATAAATTCACTCTAGATGTATAAGAGGGTTTCAAATAATGTAATACATATTTCACACATTTTGGTCTTAAAGTGCATATCATTGATCACCGTATGTTATCTTATCTATAAGACTTGTAAAACGATATGATAAACATTAGTGTTACCCAGTTTGCTTCCTCAGACAGATAACCCTCATATCTCTTAAACTATGTACAAAGATATTATTCAGCTATAAGAATTATTAAAATATATACTACTCTATCGAAGGGCAAAACAAAGGAAAAATGCTTACATCATAGAAAATCATGTATTTTCCATGTCTCTCATGTCCACCATTCTATCCTAAATGCCAAATTGGTCCTTACCACAGGTAACAGGTTGTGACAGGTTGGTGGTGGTGGGGGTTGTGGTTAGATTTAGTACCTATAATAGCAAGCCACCCAAAAGCTGACAAACACATATATCTAACACATAAAAAAATGTCTTACCCCAAAAAAAGGAAAGTGGGCAAGGAAACCCACTTATCAGCTAGTAGGAAAAACAAAGACATGAGGGGAGATCAGCTACTCTTAAGCAGGGCCACTCACTGTTGCGCCATATTTTTCTCCACTTGATGATGACTGTCTTCACTGTATTCCATGGCATATCTAATGCCTTGGAAATTCTTTTGCACCCTTCTCCTGACTGATACCTTTTAACAATGAGATCCCTCTGATGCTTGGGAAGCTCTCTGTAGACCATGGCCTTTGCTGTAGGATGCAACTAAGAAAATGTCAGGAAAGACCTATTAGAACAGCTGAACTTTATTTGGGGTTAATCAGAGGCACTTTAAATGATGGCAGGTGTGTACTGACTCCTATTTAACACGATTGTGAATGTTATTGCTTAATTCTGAACACAGCTCCAGTACATCCCCAGTTATAAGGGTGTGCACACTTATGCAACCACATTTTTTTAGTTTTGTATGTTTACTCTGCCCCCTAAAAGATTTCAGTTTGTTTTTAAATGAGTTGTACAGTTTATAGGTGGAAAAAGTTCTGAAATTTGTGTGTGTAGACTTTTTGTATCCATTGTAATTCATAACGAGTTCTTAGACCAAAGGATGAAGATACTGTCAATGTACCTGTGCCACACCAAAATATGGCACAAGTAAGGGGCCTCCACTCTGACCATCAGCAACAATGTGTTTGTTGGTATGTGTAGGCTCTGAACAGTTCTTAAAATTTACCTTGACATTAATAGAGCATTTCCTAGTGAAAAAGTACAGGAGGCTTGGGCGTCTCACCAGTTTATTAAAAGACGTTTGGATGACTCTAGCTCGCCCCACAGATTTTGAGAGGATAGTGGCTAAAGGTCCCTCCCAACATCTTATTACCTCTTTATATAAACTACTCCTCAATAACGGTTCTCTTGTTGATAACCCCACCGCTATATGAAGAGATGGGAAGACGAACTTCAATGCCCACTCTCTCTGAAATGTTGGCAGATGATTTGGGACTCTGTTACTAAAACCTCTCGTTGTGTTGTGTATAAAGAAAATGTATATAAAATATTGATGCATTGGTACAAAACCCCTGTAGTGCTTCATGTGATTAACCCGAGTCTGTCTGACATGTGTTGGAGGTGCATGGGAGGAGTAGGCACCTTGGCACACATTTTTTGGTTCTGTCCACAGATTGCGGGTTATTGGACTATGGTTAAAATGGTCTTGGAGCAAGTACTCAATGTTACCCTTCCCCTAGATCCGCTACACTATCTTTATGGGTATTTCTAAGCAATCTAAGAGGTTGGAAATACATATTCTGACGGCTGATAGATGGGTAATACCACGACTCTGGAAATCAGTCGAAGCCCCCACACTAACTCATCTTTTGAGAGCAATCTCTGAAATCAGAGAAATGGAATATCTTACAGCTCTAGTGGATGACTACTCCAGTCATTTTTTATCTATTTGGGAACCATGGGATCATTCTCTCTTTGGTAGAAATCCCCCCCCCCCCCTTATTTAGCTCAGATACCTCTTTACTTACTAAGCCTCTGACTACTACTGTAACAAAACAATGTGCAGGTTTATGTCGTCTTGTATTTTTGTATTGTACAGTTCACCATGCTGTCTAATTATGTTCATATTTCTTTTGTTTCTGTTCTCTTTTATATTGATTGTGGATTTCTTTCACTGCAACGTTCACACCTAAAGTGTTATTGTACCTTTGTTGTGAATAAAATGGGCTTTGGACTTTAATAAAAATTTACAATAATAAAAAAAAAAGAAGTTTGGAATTAATTTTGACACACAGTGTACTAAAACTAGTGCACACAGAATCTAGTATAGCTTTCCATAGTAACCTATCAGCTTCTAATTGTTTATTATCAAATCTTTTTTTTTTTTTAATAAATATTTATTTATTTTCAAGTCTTATACATGTCATTTCAACATTTCTATTATTATAATTATCAAAACAGTAATTTATATAATTTATTTGACCATATATATAACTTCCTTTTCTTACCATCCCCCCTCCCAAACTCCCCCTCCCCTCTATCCCCCCTCCCCTCCCCACCATCCCTCTCCCACCCACGCTCCACTTTCCTTTTTTTTTCTCTCATTAACTCCATGTCTTTCTGTTATTCCTAAACCCTATTTTAATTCCACTTCCAGGAATGTTATCTCATCATATATTTCACCTTTACTTTATATTCTTCCCAGACTTTTCATTTTTTATTATACAACTCCAACTTGTCCTCGTACGTATAATACAATCTTTCTGTCCCGGATAGCTGATTTACTCTACTTATCCAATCCTCCTC